TATATATAATAATTTTAATTTTTTTGTAATAAAAAAGTTATGAAAATTGAAATATATTTTTTTCGCGATTCTTACCCATCCTCTGTATGTTTATCTGATGCAGAATAAGGTATGTAATATTCTTCATCCCGTTTTGTTAAACGTTTTTTCTTCTTTGAAAGTTTGTATAAATCGTCACTAGTTCTTTTCTTTGGCACTACCACCGTCTTGAATGCAGCATTAATTTCTTCCGTGTTGCTGGATGGTAAATTGATCTTTTGAGATAATTCTACAAAAATTGAAAAGATTAATATTGTCATATATGTGTGGTTAATATTGTTATATATACAGTATTCAAGTATATACTGCTATCATAACATTTACCTGATGCCATATTGATTTTATCGATTTTATGTTCTTCCATCTTTTTACGGAAATTAAGAATATTTTCCTTGTGAAACATTCGTTTCGTTTTCATTACTTGATAATCAGTTGAATTTGTCTTTGTACCAATTTCAAATATCGTCTGTTAAAAAATTTAGATATTAAAATTGAAGCATAATATTTTATTATGTATATAAGACGTTATATACTCACTCCCTGCGGTCTATACTTTTTCATCCTGGATATTATATCCGCTATATCAATGTGAGAAGCATCAGTATACTGGGGTAAAATTCCGGCTTCATTTATGCGAAGCTCCTTAATTCTTTTGACACTTTCTGCCGAAGCATTTGGTCGCGATCTAACGTATTGCTGATAGGCATTGTTGCATACTTTTCGCATATTTATCTGAAGATACACATTCATTAAATGCAACAAAAAAGATTGAAATTATACTAATTTATTTATTATCAACGTAAATATGCTTAATATGCTACCAGATCAGTAGAAGTATTGTGCCAATTTATTAATTCAGCTAATTCTTCTTCTACCATGGCTTGTGGCAATTTTCCTACAGCATATTCCATACTTTCATCGGTTTCTGTAGTTGGCACTATTGTTAAAGGTCGACCAAGAAAGAGATGCAAATCTAAGAGATAAGGATATTCATCCGAGCTCACAATATTATATGCCATTCCAACACGTCCAGCTCGAGCACATCGCCCTGCAGAGTAAATGTTTATAATTACTCAAAAATGCCTTCGTATTTTAATAATAATTAAGAAATAATTAAGAAATAGTTACGAAAGAACATACCTACTCTGTGTACGAAGAGTTTAGATTTTGCAGGAAAATTAAAATTAATTACACAATCGAGATGTGGTATATCTATTCCTCTAGCGGCAACATCTGTTACTATAAGAACTCTCACTTTACCGATTTGAAATTTAGCTGCGTTTATTTTACGCGCAGAAGGATCCAGATTTGAATAAATGAAAGTGTTAGATATACCTGTTTTATCTAATATCTATAAAAATTTTATAAGCTATTATTCAATTGCCAAAGTATTTATATATATAGATTTTTTATATATATTGTATTTATATATAGATAAATATATATAAATATATATTTATATATGTAGATAATTTATATATTTAAAAGGCGAGTATGTATGGTAATGATTACTTGATGAATATATTCTACATGATGCATAGTTTCCGCAAATATAATTGTTTGCGACTCAGGCTTAATAATTCTTTTTAGTAAGCTTAGAAGTACAGCTAATTTCTCTTCAGGGCGACATGTAATAAAAGATAATGTCAATCCTTCAGGCAGCTTACTCTCAACATCCAAACGAAGTAAAACTGGATCATTTAGACCAGCTTTTGCAAAATCTACTAGAATCTTAGGCAAAGTAGCAGAAAACAATAGTGTCTGGCGTGATTCTGGTAATCTATTTACAATTTCTTCTATCTGTTCCCCGAAACCCATTTCAAATAATCTGCAATACAATTATCACTTTATACAAATGCAAATATTAAAAATTACAACATGAGAAAGAAGAAATTATTATATTACCTATCAGCCTCGTCAAAAACAATGTATTCAATATTTTTCAACTGTAGATCCATCTCCACACATATATGCAGAAATCTACCTGGAGTAGCTACAATGATGTCAGGATTTCCATGAATTGCACTAAACTGATTATCCATACTGTCACCTCCCAGTATCACTGCTGATTTTAATCCTGTAAATTTACCTAACTCCTTTATAAACTTTAATGTCTGCAGTGCCAGTTCACGTGTAGGCGAAAGTATCAATGCACGTGCACCCGTTTTTGCTTGCCTCGCCTTGAGTTTTTCGAACAGAGGAATTAAAAAGCAAGCAGTCTTTCCACTACCTGTCCTAGCCATTGCTACTACATCTCTTCCCTCGAGAGCCAATGGTATAGTCTACCAAGAATAAATTTTAATGTTAATCAAGATTTAAAAAAGTTGTAATCTCAAAATGTAAACTACATTTGCTTATTAATATACATATTTTTTTAATAACCTTTCTCTGTATAGGTGTGGGTATTTTGTATCCACGTTTGAGGATCCCTTTCAGTACTGCAAAACTAAGAGCCATGGATTGAAACCCTCCAGATTTCTTGGAAATCTTCTTTTTAATACTAGCGATTTCATTATCTTCATCATTATCACTGACTGTATTCGGATCAGCAAATCCAATAAGATCATCGTCCTTCATCTTGCTGTAGACTGCAAAACACAATTTTATTAATATAATGAATAAAATGCTATATTATATATAATATCTCTCTCAAGTTTGTCGTTTCTTGTCAGAGATACAGTGAGCTCTTTCATATTTATCTGTAAAGGACCTAATTTTTTAATACAAGTTTCAAACAGTTTATTAGAAGATATATATATGACAAAGATAGATGGAATGATAAATAGTTTTTGTATTAAACAACAGTACCATTATAATATTCAAATTTCATCTCTTAAATTTTGTAAAGAGATAAAAATCAGATACTCTTTATGATTTATCACTCTCCATGCGCGAAATAATCATCAAATAAAATCTGATATATTTATATATCAGATGTATGTTCTGAATCGATATGAACTCAGATCTTTGGAGTAGATTTAGAATTGGGTATATATTTTAAATACTTTCATTTTACTTATTTTACAATACAAGTGTATTTTGTATTTGTATTATTTTTTTTATCGGCAGAGCACATAAAAGTCTTATATGTATATTTTGTATTTAAAATCAAACAATTGAAAGTTTTAAAATACAAAATACTATTATGTACTCCCATGAAATACAAAATATATATGTGCTCTGCTGAAAAACAAAACATAATTGTCTTACAAATACTGTTTTTCAAATAAAAGTATTTCAAATACATGCCCAGCTCTAGGCACAGAGAGCAGTCATAATTCTTTCTGTGCCACAATCACGACAAACATAAATAATATATATATTGTACCAATTTAACATATTTTATTAAATCTATATAAATATTATGTATCTTAATATAAATATAATAATATTATAAATATTTTTTTAATTTTTTTAAAATTAATCAATACTAACATTATATGCTGTGAATATTTTTAAAAATTATGTATAATCTTACTTTTAAAATCTCGATTCTGTTATAAATCCAAATTCATCAAATGTCACATGGAACAGAGCTGTAATCTCACATAACCTTAAAAATAAATGGAATGATGCTTCACTAGAGAAAAACCTGAGAGAGGACATGACGGTTTAAAATCTGTAACTGCAAAATGCTGCCGCGCACTACCGCCTCTAAAGAAGTGGACATTAACTATACAACAATATGTTCTCTCTCAGGTTTCTTTCTGCCGTCGATATAATTTCGTTAAGTTTATTTTCCAATGCCGCATATACAAAAAATCTAATGTCATTTCATACACAAGTGAGCGTAATGATTATTATCATAATATATTTAATACCTAACAATAAAATAAAATTCAGTGGAGTAGTATTGCTATATTAATATTTTGATTTAAAATTTGATTTTATTATAGAACTTTAAGTAATAAGTGTATTTCTATTGCGCGATGTTTAAATGATTCACAATTTATAATTGCTTATTATTTTATAAGTTCGATTTTTCTTTCATATAATTTTTTCAATAGCCTTCATTTATTTACTCTAATTGGTTTTTAATTTTTGGAAAAAATA